AACTTGTGTTCATAAGATTATCCACCCAGACCCCTAGTTTTTTTCAGTCACGAGTACCCAGGATAGATTCTCTCTCTCTGGAAGTATGGCCTGCATCTCTTGCTTCTAGATGTGTCATCTTACATTGAGCTATATTAAAACATGTATCGATTGCTCATTGTTCGCCCTGCTCACGCCCAGCCAACCAAGACTACAGCTAAACTGCCTTTTTTTTCAGAAGAAGATATTCAAATCCTGCTTGCGATTGTTTTTGAGGAAGAGGTTTTTCCAATATTTGGTCCCATGTAAATGGGGCCAAGTGTCAGAAAACCCCCTCTTTTGCAAGATCCCTTATTCCTCATAAATTGAAGTTTACAGGGTCTTGAGTCCCTTATTTTAAGACGCATAAGGGATCTTTCAGAAAAGGCTTTATTTTCTGAAAGATCCGCATCTAGACTGGCGCTTTTATCCGGCAAAGCTCCGTGCCGAAAAAAAGTGGCAGCCATTTTTATGCTAATGAAGCAGGGGAGATTTAAATCCCCATTTCATTAGCAATTGCAATACGTCTAATTTGCATCCCTTTTACGAAAAAGGGATGCAATCTAGACGTAGCCTTACATTTTGAGATCTATCAGTTAGCCAACTTTTAATCCATTTGATGTGTACCATGTTAGTTCTAGATCATGCTAGATTTTTTAAAATCAAAATGCCGCACAATACCAAGACAAATGCCTTATACATAAACACTATTACCTTTATCAACCCAACTTGTAATCTCATTAAAAAAGCATATCATGTTAGTTTGACAGCATGTATTTTTCAGAAATCGTGTTGACTGGCATTAAATATAGTACAGTACTTGCCTTTAATTCCTCATTAATCAAATTCTGTATCAGCCACTTCATGATCTTGCCTGGGGGACCAATGTTGGACAGACACACCTATAATTATCTGAGTCATCCCATTACTATTTTAAAAATTGGCCCAGCACTAGCTTTCTTCCAGTCCTTTTAAACTTCCCCAGTGCTCCAAGATTTATTGAAAAACAGCAGCAGTAGAACAGTGAGCTAGTCAGCCAGTTCTTTTCAAACTCTTGGATGCAATTATCTGGATCTGTTGATTTAAAAAATGTCTTTCTTTAGAAACTACAGTTTAATATCATCCTGAGATATTAATGGATTGGAAACACTGTTATCTTCACTATGTTAAATGACTGCATCAATCATCATCATCATGTTTTCCCCAAATATATACAAAAATATTAATTGAATACTTCTGATTTTCTGCATTACTGTAGCCAGACACAAACCCCATCTTGTTTTTCCACAAACCCCATCTTGTTCCCCCACCCCTACATGGCTCCATCGATGGAGCCATGTAATTTAGACACACCCTGTAGCCAGACACGAACCCCTTGTTTTTCCCCCCCCCAGAGAGCAAGAGAAAGGCAGTCAGCCTTTGATGCCCTGGGAACGCAGGTGTGGTGCCTGTCCCTGACTCTACCATAAACAGAAACCAGACAGTAAATGGGCTAGCTGACGACCCGGGGCCTCCCGTCGCCCTGATGGCTAGTACCAGTAATTGACACGCCTGCACTGTCCCAGAGAGGAATCTTCGCCCATCACATACCAGAGGTGCCCATTGTCTGCATTTTCCCAGGTGTAAATTATGCTTTGCACCCTTCGTGGGAAACTTGGTGTTCAAAGCCATTTTTCCTAATTGGCCACTTGAGCCCAGGAAGAAGCCTACATGACCCAAGGGGTATAAAAAGAGGTTCAGCCGCCCACCCCATTTGAGCTCCAATCATCTATACCTGCTGGCAGGTATTGATTGTCTCCCGAGGTCTGTGGGACGCCCAACCTCGCCCTACTTCTTCCCGAGGGATTGAGAGAAAGACGCTGGCCACGCCAAGTCTGGAACGCAGGGGTGAGAATATATACCTGCTATGTGTCTATTTTGCATGCATTTAATAAGAGCTCAGAGAACCAAAGGGTTTCATGGTACCTGTAAGTGACTTATTAGTGTAATTTCTGTCCTGTCCTTTGTAGTGTCTGTGTTATCTGTAACACAGTAGTAGCATTTAACAACTAAGTTTACCCTGTAACAATAAAATAGTAACTGTTTAAGCTTTAACCTGACTCCTTCAGTTGCTGTAACAGAACCAAGCACAATTTAAAAGAACTTCAGCCGGTCATAAGGGACTCACTGCCCTGACCGTCGGCTGACAATTACTACTGACAATTCTACAAGTTCCATCTGATTTTGTTGCTTTTCACTAATTGCACTGAAATGCTGAGGGTGGGAGAGTGAATTTAATGTGTGCTTCACAATAGTTTGCATGACAATTTAAGTTATCCAAGTACATGTATACACACATACATATACATTGATTAGGGCTGTCAAATGTTTAAAAAATTAATCACAATGAATTGTGCTGTTAAACAATAATAGAATACCCTTTATTTAAAATATTTTGGGACTTTTTCTATGTTTGCAAATAGTTTGATTTCATTTACAACACAGAATGAGGTGCACAGTTCTCACTTTATTTTTGCCCTATAAAAACAATAGAAAGTATTTTTCAATTCACCTAATACTAGTATTGTTGCACAATCTCTTTATCATGAAAGTGCAACTTGCAAATGTAGAATTACGTACAAAAAATACTGCATTCAAAAATAAAACAACTTTAGAGCTTAGACGTCCACTCAGTCCTACCTCTTGTTTAGCTTTGACAAACGTTTGTTTACATTTGCAGGAGCTAATGCTGCCCTCTTTTTGTTTACAGTGTCACCTGAACATAAGAACGGCCGTACTGGGTCAGACTAAAGGTCCATCTAGCTCAGTATCCTGTCTGCCGACAGTGGCCAATACCAGATGCCCCAGAGGGAAGAATAGAACAGGTAATCCTCACATGATCCCTCCCCTGTTACCTATCTCCCAGAGAAACAGAGGCTAGGGACACCATTCCAACCCATCCTGGCTAATAATCCAGGATCTAACCTCCATGAATCTATCTAGCTCTTTTTTGAACCCTGTTAAAGTTCTAGCAGTAAAAATACTTTCATAATGATCATGCACTGGAACATGTCATCCTAGACTGCTATACCATGAAACATGTGTCAGGATGTGGGTAAAACAGGAGACATACAATTCTTACCCAAGGGGTTGAGTCACAAATGTAATCAATGAACATCACCAGCATGTCCCCTGGAATGGTGGCTGAAGCATGAAGGGATAAATGAATATTTAGCATACCTCGGACATAAATATCTTGCTATACTGGCTACAAATGTGCCATGCAAACACCTGTTCTCATTTTTAGGTGACATCATAAATAAGAAGCAGGAACCATTATCTCCTGTAAATGTAAACAAATTTCTTAGCGATTGGCTGGACAAGATGTAGGACTGAATGGACTTGTAGGGTCTAAACTTTTCCATTATTCTGTTTTTAAGTGGACTTATGCAACTAAACCCTCTGTGTTTGATGCTGCACTTCCACAATAAAGACATTTCATTACAGTACTAGTTTTAGGTGAACTAAAAATGCTATTTCTTTTATCATTTTTACAGGGCAAATATTTGTAATCAAAATAATAAAGTGAGCCCTGTACAATTTGTATTCTGTGTTGTACCTAAAATATTTGAAAATATAGAAAAGCATCCAAAATATTGAATAAAATTTCAACTGGTATTCTATTTCTATAACAGTGCAATTAAACCGATGATGAATCCTGATTAGTTTTTTAATTGTGGTTAACTTTGTTGAGATAACTGTGATTAATCAACATCCTTAGCATGAATAGTTCATATTATACATTGGAAATAAAGCCATCCAGAGAGTTTGACCAGAAGCTTCCAAAGGAAATTGTTCACAGCCAGAAATCAATCTGTTTTGCTTATAACAACAAAGCACTGTGTTGCAGTTTTAACCGGTCCAGTTTGTTTTTCTTGCAAGAATAAAAACGGAAGCAGAGCGATCTGTCTTCAGTTAGAAGCACAACCACACAGCAGACAGGCCTCTTACCGGTTTTTTAAAAGTTGGATGTAAATGTAACCCATCACAAAGAGAGGTGGTGGCAGTCTTGCCAGTGCCCTGGACAAGGGGGGGGGGGGGGGGGGGGCGGACTGCTCTGCATTCCTGGAAGGAGCGAGGCTTCGGGCGGAAAGGGTGGGGCTGGGAGCAGCCAGTCTTCAGTACCGCTGGGACCATGCCGTGCCCCTTCCCGGCCAGTCCTCACAACTGCCTGGAGCATGTCATATAGGGCTCCGGCGGTGATTTAAAAACTCCTGGAGCTCCAGCTCCTGCGGATCCCGCAGAGTGGAACAGTGATAATTCAAGAACTGTGATACCCATTACACCATAAGGGAATTGCTTCTGAGGATAAAATCTTCTGCGGGGGATATTTATTTTCATTTCACTCCTCATGTAGGTGTCCATTTACTATTGTTACAGCATACTCTGAGGCAGGGCATCTCCCAGAAAACTGATTTAACCCCAGTGATATTTAATAGCAACAACTGCTTAACAGTACGTTCGTATTTCTGGTCCCCTCGCACACCTGGGGAAACTTCATACTCACACACACCTGAGGCAAGAGCACTGTTTATTAACTGTTTATTATCTCACTGTTTATTAACAGGAGATCGGGAATTCCTGGAGGCCACGACAAGAGAAAGTAAAGTGCGCTGGTGGACAAGCTATATGCAAAATGATTTGTGCAACAACTGAGGTGGACATAAACTGGGCCATTACCCATAGCACATCCCCTACATAAGGCTCCCTGGAAAGGCACAGGTTTTTATGAACTGGCATGAAACAACACACTGAAGACTGTAGCTTTATTTGTATCCTCCACTATACAAATAGCCCACAAGGTGGTTTGCACTCTAACTGCAAATAGCCTAATACGGCGTAGAATCTGCATAGAATCCCAACAAGAGACAGAAAAGGCCAGTCCACAGACACGCCTGGGTAATGGCCGAAGGGACAGAGCAGAGCAGAAGTAGGTTACTCACCATCGAGAATTGCCCACTGGCCGTCTATTTCTGTGTGTTTCAGGTAGGAATCTTCAATGGTCGGGTCATAGTCGGGCACAAAAATCTTCTGGAAGAATTGGATGGTCAGAGCGCTCTTCCCCACGCCACCGTCCCCAACCACCACCAGCTTATAGGTGGGCAGGTTTTCGCTTGGAACCGCACTCGTCGCCATCTTTCCAGCGGGGGGAAGACCTTTCTCCAGACCTGGAGGAGAAAGAGAGATCAGATCTTCCACTCAGAGCTGGCTGAGAAAGAAGGGGGCGGAGGGGAAGGATAACCTTGCGTCCTGCCTGCTCCCTTCCCAGCACGGTGGAAAAAAAGGCCGGGAGTGAGTCGTTTCTCTACTTTATAGGGACCGCTATTGCAAGGGGCTGCCCTGAGCGGCTGGGGGGAAGCATGATTCATTGCTAAGGAGCCTCTCAACATCTGGGCTCCTTTGATTTTAGTGCTGGCTTGACAGGGCTGAAGGACAAAGTCCTTTTTTTAGAGACAGGACAGGCAGAGCAGTGGGACAATCCAACTTTTCCCCGCCCCCCCTCCGCCACTGGCATGTCTCAACCTTGACCTAGAACAGCGATGGGCAGCCTAGGCTAGTGAGTGGGCCACACAAGTGGCCCTTCATCTCAGTGACCCGCAAGATTGTCGTCACCGAGACGTTCTCCCGGATCAGGGTAATTTTACTAACTGCGCTGGCATGCCTAGAATTTGCGGGGGCTGTGGACCAAACTGTAGCAGTGCTGTGATTGGATGCGGGAGGGGGCGCATGGCTCCTTCTGCGGCAGCCCGGGGACACTTCAAAAATTTCTGAAGTGGCCCACAGTCAAAAATTATTGCCCACCCCTGCACTAGCTCCTTCTCTTGCCCAATCACTCACTCTCCCTCTTCTGCTCCCAGCTAGAGATAGATTCGGTCTCCTTTTTCATTAGCACAGTTTCCTGCTCCTTGCACTCTGCGTGTTCTACACTGCAGGATACTGACCCGAGAGTTATAATCCGAGTAGGGTTGCCAGATGGTTTCAACAAAAATACCAGACACGCTTGACATTACATCACAATCTACATTACATCTTATTTAGAAACTACCAGACATTTCTATTTTCTCAATTTGTTTCCCGAACAGAAACCTGAAATACTGGACTGTCCAGTTCAAAACCGGACACCTGGCAACCCTAAACCGGAGTGCAGCAGCAGCGACATGCCTGGAAAGCATCAGGACAATGCAACTGCAAAGCGTCACTGTGCTGGGCCATGTGTGGGGTTTTTTGTTGACATGAGAGAACACGCATTGATGCTTTCCAGAATCCAGTCCCCT